TTCATATCAGCGGTCTTCGAAGGATAATGATTCAAACAAATCAAACGAGTCGAACARTGGTACATAGACGATGATAAAAGATCAAAAACAAAGGAAGGAGTTAATTGGACTGTACGTAATTTACCTGTATGGTAAGGGAGGTAGGCAGGAAAGGGTTCTGTTCAATCGTGCAACCCTGCTCGTTGAGTAAAGCAGGGTTTTGTTCATATTGGAGCTCGTACCATACTAATTGTTGCGGTGCGTGTTCACTATCGTGTCAACTCTACCTAAAATTCTCATAATAGTAATTGCRTGGAACGATTACCTGAAAGGGAGTGGTGAAACAGCAAAACAGTGCCCGTATACTCAGGTACCGTATCCCTCACTGAAGTGCAGAGACTCATGGTTTCCCGGGTATCCTTGTCGTATGGAACTTCCCCAAATATCATCCTTATTTTTYATTGTGTTCCTCAAAGATAACCTGTGTAGGTGAATCGTGCGGGACGTACGGTACCGTACGATACTCGTACTTGGATCGAAGTATGATGATCAGAATTGATAAGTGTTGATTGATGGGACACCAATCAATCGTTGTAGCCTGGAGTGCGAAYTTCTGATTCAGGAACGAACTCAACAATTATCATTTCACTGGCTGGCATTGAGGATGGGTTTGAAATTTAGATCGTGCCATGACCCATAAAACATAGATTATTGGCAGAAGACTGCATTGCTTTATGCAAAGCATATATTTGCGTCGACATCAGAAACATGCCGTGCGGTAAGTGCGAAAGTAGATCAAGACACATTGTAGCAATCGCTACATTCTATGGCAAKGGTGTTTCTCGCCTACCGTGCGCACCGATAGCAATGTGTTGGCTCGTTACAGCTGTCCTGCCTCCAACAAGACTGAAGCTCGATGGTCGCAATAATGATTAAAATCAATCCCATCGCTTGGTAGTAATCCCATTGTCAAACAATAGCTTTATGATAGAGTGCTTTCTTCTCAACSAAAAAAGAGATAAATGATCGCAATTTGAAATTAGTAGCTACTTCAATTTTATTCAGCTGCTGTGCTTAAGTTTACGGCTCGTTACAATTTTGACATACGTCAGTGCTCGGACCATGGATGCTCATTGATCTCAAGAGGACAAAAAAGGGCAGCGAAAGGCTTTCATTCCCTCTAATTCATTGCACCGAGCCCCGGTTCGTATAGTAACAAATAGTTCCCTTCATCGGATCTGCTACCGTTTCCTGGGTCGTCTTAGCGACCCGCTCGGAATCTKCCCGGGGCCTTTCACATCCCCGGACTCGAGTCGCAGAATTGACTGTGCATCCCCACCCGACTTTACGGCAGATGTAACCATTCGTGCCAATGCCCACACTAAAAGAACAGGAGCAAGGTAGAATGGATGGTTCAAAACATCAAAAAGAAAAAGATAAGCAATGCGCCAGAACGAAAGTGTTTTGCTGCTGGGAACCAGATTTCTTGCTCGGGCTGCACGAATCTAATTGTCTCCACTAAACACAAAGGACTTACTGCCTCCGTCCCGGTCCATCCCTTGGCTCCCTCCCAATTTTTCGGTCATTTCTGCTACTTCCTTCATCGTTTCGGGATCGATATCGACATCAAACGGATTCTTGAGACCAGTTTCGTTGCGGAACCATGAATCAAAATTACTTTCCCTGTCTTCCTTTTCTTCCACCAAGATRGCCGTCCCATCGTCCTCGTCTTCCGCGAGCATCTCGAAGGCCATACGGGCCTCGATAAATTTGTCTCTCATTGCGTCTTTTTCCTCGTCAGACAGATCGTCGCCGTGCGTGTCGGGATGGTTGCTCATGGCAATCTTCAGAAACTTCGTCTTTACGTCTTTATAAAGAGATTCTTTGGGAATCTTCAAGACCCTAAAAGGATCCTTTCTCTTTTTGGGCTTGCGGGCTTTCCGAGAATCGAACGCAAAGTACCGGAACTGCAACTGTTGGTGCAACGGAGACGACGAGAGCGATCGTAWTGTTGGCWGCCTTATTATACTTTTGGCCCGCAAGAAATGCCTGCCGCGGGCTTGTGTTCTACGGGCCTGTTGAATATCATACGGATAGAGATCTGTCACGTTCGCATCCGTTGTCGCAATCGTAGTCGACAAACACCGATGGACGATGTCAAGMGCCCCATATCCGCCATATCCTAAGGTCGATCGAACGCCCTCACCACTGAGGCCTACTCTGTAACGATGCCTCGTATTTGATAAGAGACGATGATGGTGGATCATTCGTTTGCTTCTGGAGGATATTGAATAGAATTGCACACCACTAGARGGCGGTACAGGATCTGGGCCAATGTCCGAGGTTAGCGAGAGAGTGAATAGGTTCCTTCAGGCATGACGCCGTTTAAATCGTCAGTATTGGCAGTATTATCCCACCGTGTACAGTAACGTAGTAGACTGGTACGTAATAGCAGGGGTCGTAAATTAGACCCCTGCGTACCAGTGTGTAAAGACTTGTTCAAAGTGGTCAAAAGACAAACGATAGAACGAATCCCTAGTTTTATTCATTGATGTGAAAATATGTATGTGGGTATCAACATACTTGACATACTTGACTAGGTATAAACTAAAGTATGAACGTACCCCTCAGGGGTTGYAGGGTAATAATCATGSAAGTCGAATACGTAGAATACAAAAGTACAAAAATAGTCGTTATTTGACTGGCATTGTCCTTGGCTAGGGGGGGAGGGACATAAAAACAAGGTATCAATATCTTTTTAGTGTAGAGCATGTG